TTCTGAATCGATGCATTTTTTGTAGTACACGTGGTTTAGAAGACTGTTAAGTTCACTTCATTCTAGCTGTTTTTGTTCCTTTGTTATCCTCTGGAAATAATACTATCCAGCCCTTTAAGGAGTTGCTGTAACACTGCATATTGTACAAAAATGAAGATGACAGAAGTGTCCTTCAATGGTAAGACAGGTTATCTCAAGGTTACAACCTCTTCTATGTTGAATGAAAATGACCTGTCATGATCAGTAATAAATGTTACATTTAAACAGTCTTACATGGGGTCTCAATTGAGATGGTTTACGTAAAGATATCTTGCGTGAAAAAAAGCAGTTAATCAATTCACAAGTCTAGCGAATGGTGACTGTCCAATTATGAACACAATAAATAAAGATTTTCATTTTGTATCACAGGTCATGCCCAGTCTATTTCTTAACTAAAACACAGTTGTTGAATTCTGTATTACTTCTTGGTTTATCCTGCCAATCCTCCTGTTATAAAAGCAAAATTTTTCTAATAATACAGGCCTGCGAATTTAAACTTCATAAAAGTTGTTTTGGTTTTAATAATGGTTCTTCCATAATTCAGCTACACAGCTTTCGAAAACAATCTTTTTCTAGCAGTAAGGATTTTTTTACAAATGAGGAAGAAAAAAACTCTTACTTAGATCAAATTATCATTTCTTTTACCACAATGAACATCTTTTATTATTATGTTTGTTAACAAAAATACAAACAAACTGACGAAAAGGGAACAACACTGATGTCAAACGAATATGCATCCTCATTATTTTTGTTAAATCTACGTCTTTTAGTCTCAAAACTACGTGTTCCAGTCTTTTATGTATTGCATTATGACGTTTTGGGAAAATCTATATGTGATGGAGAAAAATTGAAGTCATTTTAGGATTCAGCGTACAGGAATTACCTTAGAAAATGTAAAAATTTCAAGACAATAAAACCCCGGGGGCCTGTGTAATATTTGAAGAAATCAGTTTAACCTGAGAATACAACATAGCAGGTAGGAAGGGGAAATTCTGGTAATGTGACCACCATAACTTTATTTGAACTTTTTGTTAATAAGTTTAAAGGATTGTTTGTTTGTTATGGATTTCGCGGAAAGCTACACGAGGGCTATCTGCGCTAGCCGTCTCTAATTTAGCAGTGTAAGACTAGAGGGAAGGCAGCTAGTCATCACCACCCACCGCCAATTCTTGGACTACTCTTTTATCAACGAATAGTGGGACTTACCGTAACATTATTACATACCGAAGGCTGAAAGGGCGAGCATGTTTGGTGTGACGGGAATTCGAATCCGCGACCCTCAGAGTGCAAGTCGAGCTCCCTAACCACCTGGCCAATTGAATATGTAATACGTGTTGGTCTTTAAAATAAGTCCTAATTAGACCACCACCATTCACCAGTGGATACTAACTTCGTTCTGGCAAGAGGCAATAGACTAGATGTGAAGGGAGAGGCAAATTTCCAGCTGGGTTTAGGAAATGTCACTCACACAATGAAGGTAGTCATCTCGAATCTCAGATTGGATGAACTGAAGAAAATAATAGTTAGTTTCATCTGTGCAACTGATGTTCTGCAGGAGATTTATCCAATGTTAGTTAGTTCAAGCCCAGGAACAGTGGACTATATGAATGTAAATAGTGGAGGGAATAACAATACTTCCATGTACACAAGAGATGTCTAGTGCATCAATACCATGAAATGAGGTCATAAAATCCACACAAAAAATGAATGTTTGTTGTTCAGAAAGTAGGTAGCATTAGCTCAGACAGTTATCTGCTGAGAATGGATAAAGTCCTGATGTTGTTTTGTAAATACTGACAATCGGCTATCCGGCTTTGTGCTGGAATGGTTATAGGTATGGTAAGCAAAGTGGATGTAACAAAGTATAGTAGTTACACTAGGGTAATGTCCATCACACAAACCTGAAATCATTGAGCAGCCTAGACCTAATGCAGGCAAAGCAACAATGTGAATATTTGTATACCAATATAATTTTAGAACCAGATGGGTAATTGCATCAAACAAAAGTGTTTTCCCACAATAGATAGCACTGATGCACATCAGATAAAGCAAATTCAGTGTTGCCTTTCCTGAACTACTAGGAATATGGCCAGCACTAAGACACAGCAAATGTTCGAGGGCAGTTATACAGCCTTTGAAGAGTGCTTGATCGACTGCAATGGTGACTGAAAGGAAGAAGAGATGCGTGCCAAGATTTTATTGATTTCAAATGTGTGAATGCAGTAACGTACAAACCTATCAGCACAAATACTTAGGCCTCAGAAGCAATGATATCTGAATACTCTAATAATATATCAGGGTCATAATTCACAAAATCTTCATAATTGCAAGTTATTTTATTAAATAAGGTGCTCTTTTCTTATACTCATGGCATTAGCAATTAAAGCATAATCCCAATTCCTAAAGTTGGGATCTTCTGTTACTTTCTCAGACTAGTACTTACAATATACTCATGGCATTAGCGATTAAAGCATAATCCCAATTCCTAAAGTTGGGATCTTCTGTTACTTTCTCAGACTAGTACTTACAATATACTCATGGCATTAGCAATTAAAGCATAATCCCAATTCCTAAAGTTGGGATCTTCTGTTACTTTCTCAGACTAGTACTTACAATATACTCATGGCATTAGCAATTAAAGCATAATCCCATTTCCTAAAGTTGGGATCTTCTGTTACTTTCTCAGACTAGTACTTACAATATACTCATGGCATTAGCAATTAAAGCATGATCCCAATTCCTAAAGTTGGGATCTTCTGTTACTTTCTCAGACTAGTACTTAAAGGCATCCTGAAAAAGTCCAGGTTCACAATCTACTGAAGTCCAGTTAAATTATGAGATTGAGGCAGGAAAGGTAAGAGTGGGTTTAATAAACTGATAAGCATATGATGAATAAAAATATAAAGTCACAGCAAATTTCTTTACTTCAGAAAATCTATCCCAAGTTTTACATTTAGAGCTTGAGCTAATTCTGCATTTATAAGGGTCTGATTTTGAAGTGATGTTATAATACCTGACATTGTTTCTATTTTCTTAATTATTGCTTTAATTTCTTTTTCCAAAGTTCCATTTTGGTTGGAGATTGAGTTGGAGCAGTTGTAACCTCAGATTTACTGTATAAGTAGTCATTAGGTTCCTGCTGTTTAACTGATGAGATGCTTGAAAAACGAAGATACCTCAGTTAACATGTTTAATATTTCTTAACTTAGGATGCAAAGTCTCAGCTTTTTTTGTGACTTTGGTGTTTGTTGCTAATGTATGGGAAATTTAAAACTGATGTAATAGCTTGATTTGATAATTTTGTTTTGCAGTTCCTAGGCAACAATTGTATGAATACTTGGAAGTTCTGAATCCTTTTCTACATATTGCATGGACCCGCTTTCTTATTTCTTTCTTAAATTTATTTGTGCACTCATATGCACAACACGATAAGACTTTTTTAAACTCCATCTATGAAACAAGTACTTAGTTTATATAGAACAATTCTATGTGTTTCAAATAAAAAGTACAAATATCATCCACTCAACTTTTTAAATAAAACACATCAAACAGTAAATTGAAGCCAAAACTTGGTGAAGCACTGAAAACAATGCTTAATACATGTGGTACAATCACACCAAAGGTTTTTCTTTTTTTTGCACTTACCACAGATGTAATGTACATCATTTGGCATATTAATTTATATGATGGACATAAAATTATAGTATGCTGTAGTTTTTTTTGTAGTTATTAGGAATATTCATAGCCACAATGTATGTCACTGGACATATTAGTGCCATAATGATTAAAAACTTATTTCTTTGGAAGAGACTTTTTTTTCTATTTTCACATCACTTATTTTACTTTGCACAAACATGAGAAAACTTACCTTAGTCAAAAAAAGTTAATACTTATTAATACTTTAGAAAGTACATGATAAAATTCAGTAGCAGCTAAAATATGATAAACATTCCATCTTGGTTATTGCTAATATTGTACAACTTTGGATGTTTAGCTTCAAATATGGAGAATTAGTCACCACTCTCTGTTGACTATTTTTGGCATTGAAGTTTCCTTTGCCATTGTCTCATTAGTTCACCTACCAAATATTACAACGAACTAATAATTCTTGATTTATTAATGGCCTACTAACTACATGAAGCTTTGAGGTGCATGTTTCTACATATAAAGAGTTAGAGAGAAAACTTGTTTGAATAAATTTTTTTATGTACACATGGATATGTATATCTTAAACATTTACAGTACAATTTAAAAATGATTTCTGAACCTATAAGTATCCATTAGTTGTGTCCTTTCCATTATAATTTGAATACCGCCTGTCAGGTTTGTATTAATCTAAAAGATTTAAATTTTTACACAAAAACAAGAACATTTTAGCCTTTTTTTTTTTGAGATAGGGTTTCTTTAAATTTCACGCAAAGCCACTCGAGGGCTATCTGCACTAGCACTCCCTAATTTAGCAGTGAAAGACTAGAGGGTAGACAGTTAGTCATCACCACCCACCGCCAACTCTTGGGCTACTCTTTTACCAATGAATAATGGAATTGACTGTCACATTATAATGCCCTCACAGCTGAAAGAGTGAGCATGTTCAGTGATGTGGATTCGAATCTGTGACCCACAGGCTGCGGGTCAAACACCCTAACCACCAGGTCATGCCAGGCCTCTGGTGAGGAGGGAAAAATACTGTTTTCAATGTCATCATATATTTTACCTTAACTTGATAATTAACAGATTTGCAAATATGATACTACACCATAAGTTCAAGATGACAAAGTACACAAAATAAACATGAAAATTTAAAATTTTGAAAAATTACATTGTACAAATACTAGGAATAAAACAGTAAAAGAAAAAAAATTAAATCTTTAATGACAATCAACTTCATCAATTTTCAAATTCTCATAGCAAAGGAATCAGGAATAGGTCAATATATAATGTAAAATATATATTTATTTTTTAACCACAGCTTCAAAATTCGTGATGGACTAGCCACAGCAGAAACAAACACGAATCATGCAATCATACGAATGTTTGAGAACATAATCATAATAAAGCTTGAAATAAAAATCCATGCAAAACACAATTAATTACAATTTGTCTCTAAAACCTTTATGAGCAGTAAATCCTAAAACCTCATTTACTCATAAAATAAAGACAACTGGGTAAAGTGGTTATTTTATATACAATGACTGAAATATTGAATTACACGGTACACAATTTAACAAACTTCATTATACTCTAAACACATTTTTTATTAAAAACTAAAAAATAACCTACTACCTTGTTTCCAATTAAGAAAGTGCATTTTTTAAATTCCCAGAGTAGAACATTTTTTCTTTCACAGAATAAATTATCACTGTATCTGGAGTTTTTTTTTTTCCAATAATTAAATATAAAAGCTGCATATTTTTGGATCTTTGTTGAAAGTGGATTATTTTCCTTTTATATGCCCTTTATATTGTGTATTTTTCATAATTTACAATAAAAAATACTCGTATAGTCTTTGGAATACATTTTTTTATTAGCTTTGATGATGTGTTCCTTGTAATACAAGAAAATTGATCTTACAATATTTTGTTCAGTCAATGTTGAAAGCAGATGTGGCTTGTTCACAGTTATCAGCAACATAAGGTCTCTTAAAGAAATCTTAAGATGATTCTTCTCTTCTCTCTGTAATCTAGTTTTATTCAGCTTCCTTTGCAGTTTTTCATTAAAAACATTTCTAAGTAATCTACATACAATGTGTTAAGACTATCCTATTATGAGTCCACAACCAAATCGAGACTGATTTTTAGCATGATTCAGCATGCCACTTAGAGCGAGCGTAAATGGAAGAGGTTGCAGCTTCTTCTCAAGAACTGCTCCCACAGTCCAGTTGCTGTCAACAGTACCTAAAAATAACAATAATTTATATGATCATTGTTATTGTTTGTTGAATTTCGCACAAAGCTGCTTCAGGATTATTTGTGTTTGTTGTTCCTAATTCGGAAGTGATAGACTAGTGGGAAGACAGCTAGTCAACACCACCAACCCTTCAGCTACTCTGAAAGGGCAAGCAGGATTGGCAACAAATTTCATTCATTGTGAGTCAAGCGCCTTAACTACCAGGAGATGCCAGGCCTTATGCGATCATTGATTCACTAACGTGATACACAAATGACAAAATATTGTTAATGAATAGAATGGGCAACATATTAATTACAAAACACTCCACATCTGGGATTAACTACAATACCAGTCCTCACAATGAGTTTGTGATACATTAAGTTCATTTACTCCATACTTTTGCATCTAGGATTTTCAATGTTAAGTCCTGCAAACTGAAAACTAAAACTTGTCATTGTGATGATTATCTTAATTAATCTAGCTAAATATAAAAAAAAAAAAGTTTTAAACAAAAAATGTGGGATTGATTTTTTTACTGTATTATTTTTTAAAAACAAAACAAACTTATACATATTTTGTAATTTTCTTCACCCAGTTCTTACAGATTTTTAAGGTCTCATTTTCTTCTGCTGAAGAATCTGTAATGTATTAATACTTCGCTTAAATTTCTCCTGACTTCAACACATGATAAATTCATATACGTAATATAAAATGTAAGTTTTCCTTAAAAGAAAAATAAATAAATAAATGGAAGTCCCACTTAAAACTGTCTTAAATGTTGTTTTCTAAATAATAAAATCCAGCACATGGTTACTCACAGTATTGAAACAAATTTGGAGATTTCATGCACAAGGAGGACAATCTTATTAAAGGTACATTTTTAGCAATTATTTAAGACTACAAACTGACCTTTAAATACAAGGTTAGCCTTTGGCAAGTCAAGCTGATAACCAATAGTTGCAACACTTTCACCTAATCTGAGGTTTGTTTCCACTTCCACTCCAACCTGTAAATTAGAAGATCATTTTTACAATTGTTCATTTCTTTACAAACTCATGAATGGGTTCATTTCTTTTTATTATTAAATCTACTTCAACAAAACTTAGTATACTTCTGCAGTTACCAGTTACAATATATATTTTAAAGGTTGAAACTGAAACTGCAGGGTGGTATATGAATGGGTCACAGAAGGAGATACAGTAAAATACAAGCATTTTTTGCATTATTTATAAAACAATGACCTTAAAATGTTTTTGAACAATAAACAAAACAAAAGTACAGAAATACAGGTTGGGAAAAAATTATCTTCCCTTTTTAAAAATTTAATAATTAAATAACTAAAGAAATACAACCAACTCTTAAACTTAATTCAATTGTTTAATCCAAAGCATGACAAGTGC